AATTGGGAATAAAAAGATCATTCCGACTACCTGACCACTGTAGTGTCTTTCAAGCCGAATTGGCAGCCATACAAGAAGCCGTTGACAGCCTAAAACTAGCTGTTATCGCCACTACGGAAATATATATATACTCAGACAGTCAGGCGGCCCTTATGGCGCTTGACTCTGTCACTATAAATTCGGAAACAGTTGCCAACTGCCGCAAATCACTTAACGTGATGGCAGAGCAGTTCGCTTTGCACCTGGTATGGGTACCGGGGCACAGTGACATACCAGGAAATGAGGTGGCAGACGAGCTTGCAAGGGCGGGTACTTGCTCTCCACTTTCACCAGCCTGGAAGAGGGTGGGCATGCCACTCGCTTCCTGCAAGCTCTTACTAAGGGAGAACTTCCTTGAAGAAGCGGCCTCCAGATGGGAGCGCACTGAAAACTGTAATACAACGAAGCTTACATGGCCAAAATGGGATGTACGGAGATCGAGAGAAATTCTCACTCTCAATAAAGGCGATATGTCACTGGCCATTGGTCTGCTCACAGGACATATTCTGATAGGAAGGCACGCAGAACGCCTCGGGGTTAGTCACAACGACTACTGCAGGAGCTGGCACGACGAAGAAGAGCCTGAATCAATAAGGCACTTACTCTGCGATTGCCCAGCATTGGGCAGGAAAAGACAGAAATTCCTAGGTATAGGTCTTCTAGACGATCTAAGCGCGACTGGTAAGTTTGGAATACGGCAGTTGCTAAGGTTTGCAACTCCACAAACTGGTTTAAGGAGTAGGGGTTTTTTTGGATCCATGTGGTATCACAATGGGCCCTGATCGGGCCTAAGTGTGCTGGCGCCCTCTGGGCCTAGCAGCCACTTCAGCCTAACCTAACCTAGAGCCCATTCAATTTTAGAGTAATAATGTGCAAGTTTCAACTGGCTAAAAATTACTGTTGATTTTTTATAATTTTTTTGCCGAAGGTGTCCTTTCTTACATTGTAGAGTGGTTCAATTTGGGGACATAGCGTGATTATTCCCATTTTCATTGCTATTGTTGTATACTGAATATATTAAATAATCACATAACCACATAACCTGATAACCAGGCAAGTGTGAACAACCTCATTTATTTCTCTTTATTTACTATCAGATATTCATATGCGAGTTTAATGCTCGCTACTTCGTGAGTCGTGCAGAATCGGACAACTGGTCAATGCAAATAACTCTAGCTGTTGCCTTTGTATAAGTGGTATTTGAATTCGCACTAGACAGAAGCCTTGGTTTATAGTGGCTGTGACCCGTGATATTTTTGATAGCTCAAACGGAGCGGTATCTGGAAATTGCAAATCATCACTTAAATTTGCCGTAATTGGTGGTATTTGGGTTCGGAATCTGTCGATAGGTAGAACCATTTTCAAGAAATTTCGTTTCGAATTCCAAATCAAATCCATAATATCGCTTTGCAGTTTCTCTATTGACTCTATTGCTATTACCTGCTTGCTATATAATTTTGAAAGCCTTCCATTGCTAATTTATTTTCAGCTGCTTTCTTTATTATCTGTATGGAATCAGATATTTGGTTAAAGGTTTTTCGAATAACTTCATTTTGTTTCTTCAAAACCTCTTGCGTTATGTCTTCAATGGAGGATTGATATTGGTATAGCATGCTGTATTCTTCATTTTTATGGGTCCTTTTTATTGTCGAAACCAATTCATCTGCGTGTTCTTCATCCATTAGACCAAACAGTGAATAGTACACGTTTCCAATGGATGGCAGTACAGACCTAGATGCTCTATTTCTTCCGTTAAATCTCATCTGTGAATCCTTTTGGTTGACTTCCTTAATGCGCTGAATGACATGATTAACTAAGGTTCCAACTACCTTTTGAGATTCTGAGTCGCCCTTGTCCAGTAGTTTGGCAAGTTTTTGTAGAGTCGAGGGTGTTTCCATTAGAAGCGGTATTTGGTGATGATAATCCGTCATGTTCACGTGGATGATTATGTCCCATGATGTCTTCGTCAAACCGAAACTGTCTTGCCTTTCTATTAATATCCCTCACTGGTCCCTAAATTTACTATAATTACTTGACAATTGTAGAGTGATAATACTACTAACATTCCTTTTCTTATGGGATTCCTTATTTATACCTATATCTATTTGCGTTTCCGTAGGAAAATGATAAACATTGGTTATTGATCTTTTTGTCGTTCCAGTGCTAGTCCTTACGTCTACCATCCTGCATTTTCCATCTTTTGCGATGATGAGGTTCTCAACCCTTCTCTGTCTTCAAGTCATTGTTGGAAGATTTTCTTCCTTAAGGAGAACTAAACTCATTTGAGGTAAGTTATCTTACGGCCTTTGCCACTTGGCTCTTTTCTGAAGTTCGCTTAGGTGACCAGCGCTTCCAAAATTCCTTTTAATTTCTTTCCACTGCTTTCCAGTGGTCCCGCACCCCATGATAACAGTGGTTATCACTACTGTCTGTAAGTGTGGTTAAGATCTCTCCTATAAGAAAATGACTTGGAGTTAAAACCTGGAAGTCATTCGGATCCTCCGATAATGGTGTTAGAGGTCGTGACTTTAATACTGCTTCTAGCTGGGTCATGAGAGTGCAACTACTCTGTTAAAATGCTTCTGAACCAGCGGCTTCCCATAAGCCACCTACGTGTGGAGATCGAGCTGGTATGTTCACCCAGTTAATGTTGTGTACAGCATAGAATTGGGAGACTTCTTTTCCGAATTGCTCTGTTTAAGGCTCCTATAAAGGCTGCTGAGCTTAGATCTGATACGACTTCCAAGTGAACTGCCTTTGTGCTGAAACACACAAATACACACACATAGGCTTTATATACTCGTTTGCCTCTTATTTTGTGTTGAATTTGTGTAGGACCCAAGAAATCAATCCCAGTATTAAAGAAGGGCCTGGTGCATCTTGCTCTACTGAATCATCTATAGCAATTGTTAACAATTATTTTTGTGAGTTGCCTGCCCCTTAGTGTTTGAAATCTTAACGACTCACAGTGTTTCGACTATATGGAGGCAGATGGAAATAATAGTACACCTGCACCGATTTCACTGAAACTTGACACGTGCTCTAGTTTTACTTAGAAATAGAGAATTATGAAATTTTGTAAAGATGGAATAATTGCCACGCCCTCTACTCTTGTGGGCGGAAACATTAAATCTCATCCGATTTCGATGAAATTTAGTTTGTAGTCTTTATTTTATTAGAAAAAACTAAATATAAAATATGGGGAAGATTGGGTTACTATAACGTTCAAAACTCACAAAAAATATGGGCCCAGTCATTAAATGTGATTGAATTTTGGGTAATTTTTGGTTCCTTGCTTTCCACTCTCAGAAAACAAAGGTTATACAATAAAATGACTTAGGTGTCAATACTCGCTTTTTCCCAATATCTGGTGGGATTTTTTCATTCTTTGAAAAATCCTTTTCGCTAAATTATGCAAAAAGAAGCTGAAAATCAAAAATAAGAAAATCAAAAATTACATATATTTGCAAAGTCGCGCGCAAAGATCAAATTATATATTCGAAAACTACATAAAATTCTCTAAAACATTAGTCTAATTTCAAGACCTGACGGACCGGTACTCACACTTTTTTTTACTAATAATCTTTAGCATCTACATTTCAAAGTAAATATTTTGGTAAGAAAATAGGAAAGTACCAAATAAATGATAAATACCTTCACCTGAATATTCCACGACATTTAGATAATTAATTACGATTGAAAAAGAAACACTTTCTGTAATGGGTTCAGCGCCAAATGCAACTAAACTGATTAGTCGGTATAGCTCCCATTCCCGTATTTTTTTGGAAATGTATCGTTCGTGAAGAAGGGGGGTGAGTAAATAATGTAAAATTTGGTACTTATGACTTTTACTATTCCCTCTATTAGTCAAACCGGTTTTTTTTTACCAACTGTCACCGTGACTTTTTTCTACCTGCCTCCATATAGTCGAAACACTGTGCGACGTTTCGTTGCGCGCAAGTATGTTTTGCAGTTCTTCGTCCGAGGCCTGTGCGCGTGATAGTTCATCGTAGTCGATAACTGCTGGCATATGCATGGTTTCAATCCGAAGAAAGGTATCTGCGACGTTGTTGGCTGATCCGGAGATGTATTCAAAGTTGGTGGTGAATTGACTTATGAATCCCAACTGTCTGATTGCTGCCGGAACGTGAAAATTAGTGGGTTGTGATCCGTTCTCACAACGAATTCGCGACCTTCAATCCAGTGGCGAAAATTCTTGATGGATTCGTACACTGCCATCAATTCCCTGTCATACGTGCTGTAGTTAATATGCGCGGGTGACAACTTCCTCGAGAAAAATCCAAGCGGCTGCCATGCATTACCGGGGGTTTGCTCTAAAACTGCGCCAAGAGCGGTACTGGATGCACGTGATTCGGAGTTCAGCGGCTGGTGAAGGGTGTGCCAGGAGAATTGCGCCTTCGACCTGTTCCTTAATGGAGACAAAAGCTCTTTCCGACGCCGCTCTCCAAGGTATTGGCCTCCGATCATTTTTCTTGGAGTCTTTTAAGATCTCGTTCAGAGGTGCTTGCGTAGTAGCGGCATTTTTAATGTGTCGCCTATAAAAGTTTATTGCTCCGATAAATCTTCTCAGCTCTAAACTTGCTTTACCGCATTAACGCAAAGGCCGTATTGGCTAAGCCGTTGAAACAATAAGCGGAGGTATTGTACGTGCTGTTGTTCGTTACTCGATGCTATGAGGAGGTCGACGATATAATCGTAAACGAAATCGAAGCCAGTGAGAGCTTCGTTGATGAAGCGTTGGAACGATTGCACCGCGTTACGGAGTTCGAACGGCATGCTAACGAATTCGAATAAACCGTACGGGGTTATTACAGCAGTCTTTGGTATATCTTCCTCTGCCGCGAGGGATTTCGTCCCTATTGTGCTGCCGTATACGAATAATCGGTGGGGTATTGTCTTGCCACCTGTATTCTCCGTGTTTACTGGGGGCGATTTGTGTTTCCCTGGAAAGCGCATGGTTGTGTGCACTTGTCGGCACGTGCACCGAATCTTCGGTGGTAGTAGCAATTTAATGATGTGGAACTAGCGTCAGTGCTCCGCGATACGTTCGCTGTGTTATTGGGGTGCTTACGACTATTTTCGCCCGACGCTGATTGGTTAAGCTTGAGTACTAGCTTCTCGACCTGCTTCGCTAAGTCGTCAGTTGTTTTTGTGGGCGACTGGCATTACGCAGTGGTTTTCGGAGTTGCGCTGAATCTCCATAAGATTGTTTGCTATTTGTGCAAGTGTAGCGTTGACCAGCTCACCCGTGGCAGGGAGGGCCAACAGCATCTGCAGTGGAAGACGGTCGAGCCAGATAGTGCGGACGAATGCTGCGTCCAGGTGGATTCCTCCCAGCCGATTGATTTCTGCAATGTGTTCAGACGGTCGTTCTCTCAGCTCCATACCAGATAAAAGCATTTTAAAGCGGCGCTCCTGAGGAATTGCAAAGTGGTTGATAAGTGCCTCCTTTAATGCAGCATATTTACTTATCTGTTTCGGGTGAATTTGAAATAATGTTTTTCACCAAGACTCACTCGGTCGAGGCGGGCGAACACTGCATAATATTTAGTTGCGCCCGCAGTAATCTTCCTCAGCTGAAACTGCGCCACGATTGCGACAAACCACAGTAGAATTTGTTGGCTTCAAAACGGTGGCGATTCTAGTCGCTCAAACCGGTCGATGTGCGTGGCTGGAGGTTGTTGGAGCTGGGAAGGGTTAATCTGTTATATGTTTGCCCTGGTGCCATGTTTCGTGTACTAGAAATTGTAGGGGTGTCCAATTATGTGGGGTAATAAAACTCCACATGTAGATTTAATAAAACTAAACTATATTTGTTAACTCACAAATTAATGCTTATCAAAAACTAATGAACACTTGTTGTGCGTGTTGCAAGTACACGCTTCTAGAAAGTTCTGAAGTACAAAAGAAAGAACGATAAAGACAAAAGTACGAATATCCATAAGGAAAACTAAAAACAGTGCTGG